TTTTCAAGATCGTGAGATGTTTTGTAAATTAATAGATATCACAATAAAAAATTCAGATAACACCATTCAACGTTCTTAGCATATGGAATATGAACCGAAGTGGGGTAGGTAGGATCCTCCTAAAACTTAAAACTATAGAATAGTAAATTGTAGGGTGCTATCTATTAAAATCATTTTTAAATGAGATGGACTATTTAGTTAAGCCAGTGAAAAAACTTTGAAATCCATGTGAACAGATCTATTAGAAGACCGCATATGATTCAGGAGCATGGAGAATGATATTCTATCAGGCAAGACAGATTAAACGGACTACTGGTTTTCAAGTTTGGTAAACGCTTGTTCGTGACTGTAGAGCAGTCGTTCATACTTGGAGGACGAAATACCTTTCCACAACAAACTTTCATCGAAGGGTGGATAAACATTTGGTCGAACTCAGCAGCTGTCGTTTGTACTCTACATGGTCCGCAATTAAAACGATAGCTTTTGCAGTTCTGTTTTGGGAGAGAACTGCTGATGACTGATCCATGAACGATGGTTGTTCGCAGCCGCAGATCCAGTCATGCTTCTAAGGTCAATGGGTAGAAGCCAAACGAAGCTCAGTCTCACAAGGTCAGCTGCTTAGGCACCTGCTGGCTTCCTTGTCTATTCACGCTCGCCCCTGGAAGGGCCACCTCAGAAGAGAAACACGGCGAGGGGTAGCTCACCGGTCAAAACCCTTCCTAGCTAAATGGACGTAGGAGCAGGTAATCTGGGGCTTCCTGCTGACGGTGGAAGAAGTCTTCGAACTTCACCAGACAGCTACCGCCCGGCCAAGCTGGGCAGCCTTCAGTCTAAAAAGTGCTGTCCCGTCCACGTTCCGCTTGCAGGCATGAAGCTAAGGGCCGATCCCGAACAGCGGCCGGACAATCAACACACCAGAGAACGAAACACTGAACCGAAATTAAAAGACCTTGCGTGACAGGTCTCCAGATGCTTTCACACGGCTGCTTTGTTCACAGTGGATCTCAGCCCAACTGCCTTGTAGGTTAGACTTTTCAGTCGAAGGCTCCGGTTAGGGGTCCAAAAGAAAAACCCTTTCGTCGGTGTGGGCAACCGCGAAGTGTGCAGTGCCCAAAAGTCCAAAGTACTCATTCAGAAAAACCTCTTTCTCAACTGTCCACTTCCTCTTCTCACTCCAAAACCTTAGGNTGTTTGCGCCACCCATTAGATATCACTCAGCGTTAAACTAATGAGATCAATCACTCAGAGGCTACCAAAACCTCCTTTTCACTTAGCGGCATTTATTGTCCGCACACTATCAGATCGGTCAGCAAGCTGCCTTAGCTAGAACCCTTGAAACCTTCCATTTAGATGTGTACTGTATCTCCGAAACACGCATAGAATATCCTACTTCAATCATATACTTGCGTTCTCCAGATCCAACCTCACCGTTCAGCTTCACCCTGAAGCCATTCGACATCCGAACTTCTCGCTGTTGCTGGTGTTGGGATTGCGCTAAGTGTCAAGGTGGACTGTTCACTTCTCAACTGGATCCTGGTTAACAGACGACTTTGCGCTGTACATCTGGATGGTTCAGTACGGATCAACAGTTACATAACGAAGCGTCCGTGCTTATTCGTCGTATCCGCTTATGCACCAACTGATTGCAGTATGCTAGAAGTGAAGGATAAATTCTACAAGGACCTCTCTCTACTGCTCCAAAGTGCTCGATCAACGGGCATCGTGGTAATCGCTGGAAACTTCAATGCTCAAATGGCATCCCTGGGCGAATCAGAAAGACATCTTGGCGGACCACATGCAACCCCAGTAACCGGACCGACAACGGAGAACGCTTACTCCAACTTCACGGTGACCACGGACTATTTCTGTCAATCACGAATTTCTCGCACAAAAACCATCGCCTTACATGGAAACCGCAAACCACTTCACAGCGCTGGACTCAAGTCGACCATATCACCATCGGCCACTGGTGGCGTGGATCAATTGAGGAGTGCCTCTCCCACCGGTCAACAACCGCGGACACGGACGATGCTCTGCTACGAGCCAGATTCTTCCTACGGATGATACAAAACCGCAGATCTCTTCACGTAGTTGGGCATAACAATTGATACACCCCACGCACACTTTCAGTTTTCCAGATGTTCCAGAACACTCTTACAAGTCCTCTCACGACATCTCCAATATCATTAAAGAGGACATGCAGTTCCTTTCAAATCTCCGTTTCTGTGAGCAGTCCCGTGGATCACTTTCCAGTGTGCACTCTCAAGAGAACTGCTGGGGCTTGTTGAACTGCGAAGTGCTCTACTCAGCGTTCCAAGCGTCAGTGAAGATTGTTTATTAGCGTGCCGTCTACTTCACAGATTGCTTGACTAAGGGACTGTCTTTGGAGGCCTCATGGCACGAATGAGTTGTCCTATTTCTACACATCCTTGCTGACTTTCGAGCGTACGAACCAAAGCTGCTTGTTATCCTATACGCATTAGGTTTCTAACGT